CTTCCCAGACAGTTGACAATTCCAATCGTTGAAGAAGAGAGATGGTCAAAGGGGTATGCTGTGGCTAGTGCTACATTGGCACCGATTCTTCTGGCTTTTTTGTGGAATATTAAAGATGATGCAGGTCCTTTGAGTAAGGAAATTGTATACTTTATTGGTGTTACGTTTGGTGGTATACTTGGTGTTCCTGCATACCTGTACACCACATCTGATCAGCCACCTCCCCGGTTTTTGCTTCCATGGGTTGTTGGAGGATTTTTTATGAGTATTGTTTGGTTTTATATTATCGCAAATGAGCTTGTTGCTTTGTTGATGGCATTAGGTGTGATCTTTGGGATTAACCCGTCAATCCTTGGTCTGACTGTATTGGCATGGGGCAACTCGATGGGTGATTTGATGTCGAATGTTGCACTGGCAATGAATGGTGGGGATAGTGTACAGATTGCGATGTCAGGATGCTATGCAGGACCTATGTTCAATACCCTTGCTGGTTTGGGGATCTCATTGGTGCTTGGTGCTTGGTACAAGAAACCTGCTCCATACATTGTTCCAAGAGATAGTAGCTTGTTTTGTACAATGGGATTTCTAGCTATAGGGCTTCTTTGGTCCTTCGTTGTGTTGCCCCGGAATGATATGTACCCAAACAGGACACTGGGGGTTGGCCTTATAGTGATCTACTTGACATTTCTCGTTGTTCGGGTGAGCACATCCATGGGTGTTCTATCAGTAGGTTTAGGTTGAGCCTGACAACAGAGTTCAGTCTCCTGGTGGTTAGGGCATGCCATTCTAAGAATGAGCAAAGAGATAGGAGGATAAGTTTTACTCAGATTCTTGTATAACATTGGGTTGGAATAGTCATGTGAATTGTACTTGTCAATCTTCTACATTAACAGCAAGTCTATAACAATAGTTACAAAGCAGAATATGTGCCCTCGGACTTGATTTAATTATTTGTGTTACTGATTGCGCCTGCTCTTGAGTTGGCTTTTTCACCTAGCATTGAAAATTGTGATTCTCTTACCAGCATTCTCTTTCCCCCACATGGTTTGAGAATCATGGAGTGCATACCTTTAATATGATTTAAGCCTCTGGTATGATATTTCTCCGGCATTGTCTTTTCTTCAATCTCTCTTTTTCTGCTATTCAAACTGTGTGAATAAGGAATTAGATTTAGTTCCTAGCTAATGAACTGAATTCTTCCGTCTGCTCATCTGGTAAATATAGAGCATATGAATACATGTTTGGGGTTTGATTCAGAACTCATCCAAACCGTTTTTATCTCAAAAATGCTGCTTAGTAGTTACTAGTTAGTTCCTTACCCAAATCCAGTAACCATTCTGTTCGTTTTACCCGAATTAAATGCGACAGTAGAACCATTTTGCTCTAACTCTGATGCAGTAACTCTGCCCCAAAACTGAAACGAGACTTGGAAAGCTGGAGTTTGCTTCAGCTCTCAATTTCTCACCTTTAACCTATGTTTAGAACCCTCATTCTCAATCTTAATTTCATGTATTAAGGTACCATTTCACTCTTATTCCTTGTCTCTTTCCCTTTGTTGGATCAAAATTGGGGTGGGAATTTAACCCCAGAGCCAACTTTGCAGTTGCCCACTCCCGTTAGTCCTTTTCAACCTTCGTTTCAGGATTGGGTAAGCACACCCTATTAAGGGCATAATTGTAAATCTAAACTCCAAAGGTCATGCCTAGAACTAGATTGGTTAAGACTTCCCTGTCCAAACCAAAGCGCTCTGTCAAATTTAAAGTTTTCTGTCTCAAGCAAGACACAACAAACTTTCCTCTTCTTGCTTCATCTTTGTTCTTTTTTGTCTTTGGAAATCCTTCAACGAGATCCAAGATGATGCACATGACCTTATATTGGGGAAAAGACGTAACTCTCCTCATCGACTCCTGGAAAACCGATTCGTGGCTGAGTTACCTCCTCACTCTAGTTGCTTGCTTCCTCTTCTCTTCCTTTTACCAGTACATGGAAGATCGACGCCTCCGTTTCAATTCCCTCGCTTCCTCTAACCCATCCCAGCCCTCCTCAACCGACGCCGCCGTACCTCTCCTCTCCAAATCCCGCCGCTGTGCTAAATTTGCGACGGCCGTGCTTTTCGGAATCAACTCGGCGATCGGATATCTCCTGATGTTGGCCATCATGTCGTTCAACGCAGGCGTGTTCTTGGCCATCGTTGCGGGACTCGCTGTCGGGTACCTGTTCTTCAGGTGCGCCGATGAGGACACCGTGATTGTGGGGAACGCTTGCGCTTGTGCTTGACGCTATCTTTTTCCACAATTCTAGTTATGTATTTTCCTTTACTTTTGTATACTGTACCAGAATTTTCTGTACGAATTATCAATATTTTTTTCTTGAATTATATGATTTTCTTTGTAGTTCGTGAATGAATTATTCTTCTGTGAAATTTCTCAGATCTAATCATTTTTAACTCTTTAGATTTTGTCGAGGAAACCTTCTTCTTTGCCTTTTGTTTTTGAAAATATCAAGTTGCGTTTGATTGAAGGAAGCAAGGAAGCTTTGGAATTAGCCATAATTGCGTGCTCTGCGATGTAGACAGAGCGCTTCGGCACTGCCACAATGGTTGGCCCAAGAAGAGACAGATTGAAAGAGAGACGAAGCCCAAAATTCGTTAGTTTGCTTAGTTGCGCAAACAATTTCAAAGTATATGACTGTTGGGTGAACAGCGAACCTGTGAAGCAAACAAAATTAGGGTTCTTTCATTAATCTTTGTTTTATGCAAATACCCATCATTAATTTTTACTTTAACGTAGCCTTTTGTTGATTGTTACTGCATTTCTAGGCTCTAGCCAGTAGCCAATATTGTAATAAGGGCCCGAAAACGGAAATGAAAAAAGACAAGAGTACAAATTCCTAAAAACGCTGCTCGGTTTGTTCGTCGAACAAGAAATATACTTCTAGCCCATAGGGAGATAGGCCCGAGGAACCCAACCCAGATGTGACGCGATAGTGGCGGCTAAAACATTGCTGCTTCACTTTTACGAGATGCTGGTTGAATTTCTGGTAATGGGCTTCCTCCGACTAACTTGAATGTCAAGCAAATTAATGCAGGAATGTCTGCTAATGGACTGGGGTTTTAAGTCATGTGTTACGTAGTTAATTCAACCAAGTATCTTTGTTAATAGTCGTGATCGCTTAGATTTACAACTTATTGTCTTAGAAAAATGAAAAAGAAAATGCAATTGAAATGTGCAGCTTAATTGATTCCCAATCTAGTTATACAAGTCTGACCAAAGGAACAAAACGAAAGCATTATTATAGGATCAGCTTATCCATATAAATTTACTCTTTTTATTTTTTTATTTTGGTTACAAAAAGGAAAATCTGCTTAGTTAGGCTTGGCTCATTCTGTCATTCAGCACCTGGTAGATTCACCATAAATGTAATCAAGAACAGAAATGACTCCAAAAACAAAAGCTTGATCTATTCCAGGTTTTACCACGACATGATAAAGATCTTTACTCGCCATCAACTCGTCTACTTCCTTCTTCACTCCAATCTGTCATCATATGAATTAATATGATTAAGAACAAACTTAGGACGCCTATGGCCAACTTTCTACACATTTCTATTTTAATTGAAAAGAGAAAAATAGGAAGCAAAGGAAATAAAGATAGACGTGAACTACCTGAGCGACAATGTTGCCTATTGAATCAATGATGCTGCAGTTTCTATCTGGGAAATGACCTTTAATCTCAAAGTCCCACTCCCTGCTGCTTCCGTTTGGCTCAGTGGCGATTCTGATGGCATTGTTTTTAACTAAACAACTGGACCGGGGCTCCTTTAAGGTAAAAACCAACTTTTGTGATCCTTCGTAGCCAAAAGTGTAACCTTTCCATCTTTTATGTACACTTAGGGCCTCAACCATCCCTCCCTGGAATATAAGAATCAAGAACCATAGGCTTAGCCCATAGCAGCCGAATTTGTGCTTGTGGGTGCTCTTGCAATGCGCCTATCTATACCTACTCAATAATTAAAAACACTATGCATAAAATATGATCTCCCTTCCTCGCCTTCTTAAAAAATAATTAACGCGGGGACATGAACCATTTGGTGGAGAAATGAGACAACCCAAATATAATGGCTATATTGTTGGACTCATCTCATCCACCACCAGCTTCCCGGCTGTACAAATGTTACTTGAACCAATTGGCATCTCTATAAATTGGAAACTATTTCGGGGAACAGGTATTCCCACGATCACTTACAGTCCCGTTTTATCCTGCTGTCGTGTTCCTCTTGTCTTTCCTCCTAGCACACAAGCAAGTTTTCATAAAGACTACTCCAGGAAGTTGAAGCTTAATTATTCTTTGAAATTAATTCATTCATATATGCATGAATGCATGATGTATTATGCATGTAATTAAGAAATTACATAACAACAGCCTCTTATATATACATGCTTTCTTGGTGTGTGTGTGTGTGTGTATATGTTATATGGTGATGATTAACTATTGAACTTAATTCTCTTCGAACGGGGTAAAAAGGAATATTACCTTTCGACGTATGAGAAGCAAAGCATCCCCATTTCCATCTTTCAGAACCAGCTCCCCTTTAATACCAAGAACCCCACAACCGTCAACCCTGAAAACCACCTTCTGGCTACAATCCGTGACCACGAAACCACCTCCATTCACTACATGGGGCCTCCTCCTAACCACAAGCACTACCTGAGAAGAAGAACAGTACAGCTTACTGATAAGCGGCATTGTGCTTGCTTTTGCTGCTGCCATTTCTTCCTAACCTCTCAAAGAAGAATTCTCAGTTGTGAATTTTGTTTGGTTCGTCTTTGATGTGTCTCAAGTCTGAGACAATTATATATATTTATACAACGCCGAGTTTCAAGAAAGTAGTGTTAGAAGAAGAACAATAAAATTTTTTATGTTGAAAGATTTGGCAAGTTGTTTGACTATTGCCATTCACAGAACATGCAAGAATATGTGGCAAACGTTGTGGCTTTTGTGGTTTGCTTGTCGAAGATGAGGATTGCAATCTCACGCGCCACTCTACAAAGCCAATCACCTGAGAGCGTGGCAAGGGTGAAGTACGTGTCTTGTATAGTCCTCCATGGAGGATCCCTTATTACATATTGCGCATATGTTTATGGGAGAGAATTTATATAATAATATTGCATATAAAAATTTATAAATTAATAAAATTCAATAATAATCAATAATAAATAAAATTTTATTAACATGCTATTTATATTCAAAATCTAATAGAAAATTATTTAATTTTTAACAAAAGTATAAAAGAGTATTAAAATGTTTTCAAATTTTGTACATTTAATTGATGTAACAAGATATTTCAATTATATGGATTTGAATTTTTATTTAATCGCTTTTAATAGATTACTTTAGGAACTTAATTTTAATTAAAAGAACCCTACCTTGCTTTTTGAGTCAAGAGTGAAGATTTTCAAAAAGGGCTTTTGAGTCTTTTGAAAATGTTGGCAGGTTGGTAGCCAGAAAAGGAATCTTGAATACTTATATGCAGTAGCCTTGTATTATTGATAAAAGAGGACTTCATGGACCATTTCTTCCTTAAGTAATTAGAGATATCTTCTTGAAGTTGATTTAGGCTAACGTTTGGATCACTACAAAATTGCATGCATCATGCGTATGATCTGATCTGCTTTTGACTTGTATGAAAAAGCTGTCTAGTTAGATGCTAATCACCTAACGTGGCTGGCAATAAATGGTTTACTTACTGAATGCAAAAGGGTATCTCCAGAGCCAATGGTTTGGCCATGGCTTCACATCCACGAATTTACCTGACTGCCTTGACTCCAGTTCAGGGGAAAACTTTGCTGCTTCTGACTTCAATTTGAGTTTTGGTTGAAGAATTTTAGTGGTGGTAAGAACTTGGCTTCTAAGATGTCGACCCGATTATTCAAGGCTTGTCATAAAGATTGGAATTATATTTGATACTTTGAAATTTAGAGTTTGCAAAATACTAAGAAAGTTCAGGCTCCAAGACAGAGCACTAAACCTGGTTAATATTTGTGTTCAAGCGTATCTTTGAACGTTCAAATACTATAACTTTTGAGTTAATAGCGTCCCCAAATGAGATCAGAGGCATCAAAATCAACAAGACTTGAGCTGGTTTGCAGGGAAAAAGGAAGAAAGAATGAATGATAATTGAGTCCAAAAAGTTGAAAAGGAAAAGACTAAAAGAGGCTAGCCGTAGATCATCAAATCAGAGGCAGCCTATGGGCAGCCCAAGGAAGAAGCAGGCCACATCCTTGGGCTTGTCGAATACCATTAAGCAAGTAACCAAAAACAGCTTCGCTCTGAATGCACGTGTCGTAATCGTACGCTTAGCATCACTGTCCGAAAAGAGTAATCGGACAATGATTGTTCTTTGGAGTCTTTGCTCATTTCTGAGCACCACGACACCCACACCAGCTCACGTTAATTTTATCCCACTGTCAATTTCTAACATGCACCGCCAACTTGACAGATTTAGATCGCCCCAATAGTAATTTTATAATTTTCTCCATTACCGCGGTTGGTCTTGGAGTTGTACTTTGGAAAAGAGCGGGAGGTATGCATCGAAGTGAAATGACTTGTCTTCCCAAATGTCGGGCCCACTCATATAGGCAGGGATTCAGGACCCCACGAGTGGGGGCGGGTGGGACCCTCTGCCTCGAGCTGAGTGCTCTCACGCCACCCGAGTGCGCGTGGACAATCCGAACGTCTCCCAAAAATGGCTGGGGGCTGAGTTCAGACCCGTACGGAAGTGAAGAGTAAAATCGTGGGGGGTGCAGGCCGATAGATTTTGCTTTGTTACTAAGAAAGATTATGGATTTTGTTTGTTGAATAAATTGCATGAAGCAAGGGACGTGAAGGGAAGACACCTTGCATTGCATATTGTAATGCTACCAAACACAGTTATGCAATTTACTTTGTTACCACTTCATTTGTTATAAATGCAAATAAAGACTGTTGGATGATTTAGATGCACACCAATGCACGTGAATTGTGTAAGGGTTAAACTATTTTGGTTGAAAGGTTTTCAATGCCTGCGCATTCAGTGAAAGGTTGGTTGTGCATTCAAGCCTAGAGAGACCAACCCAGGCAGACTACGGCCAAAAACAAAAAGGCTATAAATTCGAATGCGAAGTTAGGGTGGGATGGGAAACCCCAACCACGAGTTTTTACAGGGGTGTGGTGAAAGACCTGATGCGCTATGCCTACTAACTGTGCAATCGAGAGGAAAGTAGGTGTGTAGGTATTGGGAGACAAGGGAACTGCCCCCTCCCCCTCAAACATTGAAACCTACTCTTGATATTTGGGACAACGCTGATCATTTTGCTTATATCTCAGATTCAAAAATCATTCCAGGGACAATCCTATTGATATGGACCCTGTGATGGAACTAGAAAAGATTCACATGCTCGAATTCAGAATACTGATCAAGTTGTTGGTTTTTCTTATTTGGTGATGATTTTATGGGAAGTGATTTAATTTAGGATTAAAAAGTTAAAATTGGTTAATTAAGCGGTAGAACCTCTGAAATTCACTGCTGTTTTTTTTATTTTCCTTTTATATTCCTTCACCCAAGTTGACTTTTTTTATCTGGCAAAATTTATTTTCCAACTGTTTACATTGAATCAAAATCCTGTTAGGAGATCGGTATTGCCATGGGGATTGGACATGATCTAGCAGGGAGGAGGCAGAGCAGAGATTGCAGAGACACAGTCTCTGAATAATAGTTTAGGCATGAGAGCGCTATGGAAAAAGGTCACTGTTCATGTACTGCCTGCGCCATCAACTAATATCCCTGTAGAAACAGCGTTGGGGCCTATCCTATCATGAGAATTTTGAACTAATTTTGAGTCTGCAGCCAGAGAGCTCCATCCACGCTTTCCCTTCAAAAGCTGGTTTAGGGCCAATAATTTTGAACTTTCAATGGCAATGATCAATTTCCATAGTTTTAATCACAAACAAATAAGCAAGATTTATGTATTTTAGTTAGATGAACTAAATACTATAAGGAGGGTAATGTAAAAAAAAGACAGAAAAAATTTCCACAAACTAGAACCCACTTCCACTGGCACAACCTTTTCTTCTTCAGCAATAATCAATCAACACAAGTCTGATAAAGAAATGCCTCTCCAATAATTTGCTCTCATCAATGTCATGTAGACTTGATAGCCAAATATCCCGTGGGAAAATACCAAAAAAATAAAAGAAAAAGTAAATCAGGTACAGGGGAAATCAGATAGACGAAAGGAGAGAGCTTTCATTTTGAATTAGAAAAAAGAAAAGAGTATGGAAGTGGAAAGAATTAACATGACGTAAAGGTAATAATTTCAGAGTGATTGTACCAAAGAATAAAGTTTGGAATTTACCTAAGATCACTATCAACTTCATTTTCTTCCTTTGATAGTCAGAGAGAGAGAGTTACCCCTTGTTTTTCCCCTCTGGTTCAAGTGATTCAAAGGTTTGTTTTTCCCAAATTTCAACATCTTTTGTAAAAGGTAAACTTGCCATGAAAAACCAAAAAAAAAAACAAAATTACATTACTTGAAACTTTTACTATCTCTCCTAAGTGGGTGGACTAGTTATTGTTCCCCACTCTCTTTTATTATTTATTTTTTTATACACTCTCTCAAAGTGAGGGTTGATTCGTCGTTGAACAATGCAAAAACCCCAAAAAAGCAGAGCTTTTATATTTTTTAAACTATATTTCTCTATTTCTCTCTCCTACGCAGATGTCACGTGCGATCTGAGGTACTACATCGTGCTTTTCGCTTCTCTGCCTTCTGCAATTCTGCATCCCCACCCAGCAGAGGGTCTCAGACCAAATAATACAACAAAATATACAAATTTATAGAGCTGGGAGGGCGTTTTAGGTGTTAAAACAGTTATTCTATTACTGTTTTATGAAACAAAAACTGAAAATTTTCACCACCCAAAAACGCAGAACAGGGGAGAAAAAAAGAAAAACATCTCTCTGGGGAAAGACTGAAACTTTGGCTTAGATGGGTTCGTACGAACACTTGCAGGCTTTTTCACAGCCGTCTTTACCATTATTACTATTATCATTATTACCATGCACAAAGGTTGTGTCTCGAGAAAGATCAGATCTTTCTTCCTCTCTCCACGCACTCTCTGTGACTTCATCTGATAATAATGACGCCCTTTTTAGCCTCATTATATTTATCTTCCTTTGTCTCTGTTTTAAATCCCCGTTTAATCTCTTCTTCTGCTGCGACCTCAACGACAGCAAAGACTTTTAACTGCGTTTTATTTTTTTGGTTTTAAAACCAGACCCCCCCCAACCCCCATTTACTTTCATTTCTTGT